AAAATACTTTTTTATTAATATAGAAGTAAATTCTATTTTTTCCACATTTTTATAAATTAAAAATACTTGATACTAATTTTTAGAAAATTTCCCTCTTAAGATAAAAGGATTCTTTGATGCGCCCATTTTAGAACAGGGTATTTTAAAAATAAGTGGAAAATTAAAATAAAATTACGATATTTTTATTATGTTATTAAATGGTTATTGTAAAGGAAGAAAGAATTTAGGTTTACTTCTCGCTTTACAAAAAGCGACTATAGATTATTCGCAAACACAAACACTCGCAAAGCGAAAGATACCAAATGCAAATTGAAATTTTTCGTAAATCGACACATGAAACAAGCACCATGACAAATCGCATATCATATCCTGTCTCGTTTTTCATGTTAATCGCGAAGCTGCGATCATGCCATGATTTCCTGATCGAGTCATCCGAAAATTGATGAAAAACGCAAAATATTCGATGACAATCTGAAATTGCGAACCTATTCGTTCAGTCATACACCGAAAAAAATTGTATTCTCGTGTTAAAAATTTCCAACTTATTTTTGGAGTATTCTGTTCCATAAAATAGACGCCAAAGGAATTCTCTTATCTTAAGAGGGGAATCCTTTAAAGATTAACATCAGATATTCCTAATTTATAAATCGAACATAAGGACAAGATCTGGATCTCAAACAATTAAATAATATACATGTCTTTCTCGAGTCATTTATTAACTTCATATCTATTCTTATAAACCAGTAGTTTTTAACCTTTTTGAAATTACGAAATACTTTTGATTATATAAGAAAAATTTGTGCAACACCAAACTCATTAAGATCATAAAGGTAATAACAAAAATATGCATGAACATGTTTTTTATTAAAAATTATACAGTACAAATTATATACAGTAAACGAATTTAAATTTAAAGAATAATATTCATAAAATAAAAAAATTATAGTAACTTTTTCTATGTAGGTATGCCGTGCTTACATAATTTCGCGGAACACCGATTAAGAATCACTGTTGTTATAAACACTAATTGTAAAATTCAGTATTCACTGCACTGTAATTTGCAACACTATACAGTAAATAATAGAAAAAAAAAATGATCGTAATTAAGATATGGATATATCATTCTTCGTGCCGATAAAATCTCGAGAATAGGAATGCACTTAATTGAAACCGTGACTTCCACTTTCAATCCTTTCGCTGCATCGATTTTACAAGCTTCGTAATTCGTATATATACTGCATCATAGATAGGCGCGTTCTCGCGCCCTACGGCTCCGCTTTAGGGCCCGTAATCGCCCTAATCGCTCCTCGTGCACGCGGTATCCTCCACGCGGAGATGATTGCCTAATTCCATCTTCCTCGATGCCAATTAGTATTCATGCGCAGTCGTGCACGCTCCCTGGCACGGAGAGGAGTCGAGAGCCGCTACTTTCGTTCTCGCCGAACGACCGACCCTTTTGTCGGCGACGAGACGGTAAACAAGGGATTGCGGGCGAGGCGCTTAACGCTGATTTAAAGATAAACTAACGCAACAGGAATCCATGAGTCGCAAAGGGCAAGCCGGGTGGCCGCGGAAATTCCGCGGGACACCCTCTTGCAATCTCGAGAGAGCCCCTCGAGAGAGCCCTTTTATGGGAAAATTCACGACTCTTAATCCCTAAAGGGCATACGCCTACGCACTTTTACTAGGGAACCATGAAGAAAGGACTGGTCGAAACACGTGCGGAAGCCCTTCGGCAGTCCTGAGAAAGGGATCCGCCCTCCCGTAACAACGGCCCTCTCGTATATATTATATGGCGTATTTACGAACTTTCCGGAACAACGTTAATGCAATATAACCGCGGCGAAGTGCAGCGCGACGTGGATATGCACCGAATGCAGCGAATGCTCGAACAATATCGTCTGGGTTCGCCAGGATTTTCGGCGACGAACTTGGAATTGGTTGCATCGATACAAAAATATTGTAATGTAGACATATACAGGATGTATCGAAATAAGCGCGAAAAATGTTTAGGGAGATTTCTTATATATGTATAAACTTATGTATACTCTCTTATATCTTCCCTGAAGAGTTATACACTTTTTTAAAGAGGGATGTAAAAATTAAGTTTTTTTTTCTCAAATTTCAGACGAATTAAAAAATTAATGGTGGATATTTTCCATTAATAAAAAGGATATTTATTAATATTAAAAAAAATTAAAACTTAATTTTTATCTATCTCTTCAGAAAAGTGTAACTTCTCAGAGAGGGATATAAGAGTATATGTTTATATGAGAAATCCCTCTTATTTTTCGACAAAGAATCATATCCTAAAATGTTTTACACTTACTTATACATATTGTTAATATAATAATGTACGATGAAAAAAAATATAGCAAGCAAAACTCAGGAAACTTGAAAAGATCGCGTATTTAAGGGTCGTGTATTAATTTGCAGCGCGAGATGATGCGATTAAATGAAATTTATTTGTTGAAAAATTTAATTGGAAAATGAAATTTATCTTGAAAAACTTAATTGGCGACGGGAGCGATACGTTGTATTATATAGGTGAAAGGGATATACATCCGATGTATATGTAGGATCTCGCGCTCGACTCTCAGCGACGAAGGATAGCTTATCTCCATAGCAGTTTCGCCAAGGGCTTCGAGAAGTGAAAGTCAAACCAACGTTGAAGTTTAACAGGATACCATGAACCGGTCGACAAATTTTTGAGATCGCGATCTCTCGATAGTCGGTTTCGCGCGAGCATATCACAAACATGACTCTACGGAAGATGATTTATCATAGCATCTTCAACTTGTTATTTTCAATTTTTATCGCGGTTAAATTATTATTACAAGAATGAGAAAAAAAAGCAAGTACCGGAAATCATAGAGCCACTGCTTTCTATTTATAAACTTACACGATATTAAATTTAGAGAGAAGAATAAAATAGTGGTATAGCGTTAAATCAAACTTTATTTTAGTCAAATTAATTCTTTCGATCCAGAAAACTTTCTATTTTTCCTCCGGACTCGAGAAGAATTATAGCATCACGCAGATGCTTTGCATTCTAAAATTTCGATCTTCATTAAAAATCGCACCTCTGTTGATATCTTCGGCGACTCAAATCTAATTAATAACCTTCGATAATTGAAAACAGAAAGACAGAGAGAAAGGAGAAGCAGCAATCTCTGTATTAAGCTTTGTTTCTCTCACAATCGATGGCTTACATGTCGAAAAAATTTATAAAGGAGAATTATCTCTCTCTATCTCTCTCTCTGGATTTGCATAGAGTGCAGTCTATCTAGAGAGCATTCTCCGGGATATGCTCTCCTAATCGATGTCACCAGCCGACTTCCCTTCGACGACGACACGTTCGTTGCCGACGAAGGCGCGTTCCGGACGCGCCTTGGAATTACAATCGAGTCGCGCGTTGACCCCTTTAGGGCCGTCACGCGAAGGGCCGTGTTCACAGGGTCTTAGAACACGCATGTAAGTATTTTGGGGACTCTTCGGCCCTGTTACACACCGTAATCCCTACCAAAAGGGCGATGGCGCAACTCGACGTCGAGAGACATGGCGCCGACAATCTAATCGCATGCTTGAGAAATCGTGGGAAATTGTTCATCTGCCACTATCCTTCCTCAGTAGGAACAGAATGGAAGGAACAGGCCACTTGTCCAAGTAATATATAATTATGAACTTGATAAAAAATATTATATTATATATTATATATTGAAGCAATATCAAGATTATCTATTGATTGAATATGTATTTATAAGAGTACCATATAATTATAATATCAATATATATATATATATATATATATATATATAATATTGATTTATAATAACATAATTATAATATCAAGATATTGTAATTTTGCTGCATTTCGCAGAAAATAATTTTATCTCTAGTTTGATTACGCAAATCGGCATTCGCAAAAACACGTTTGTGAATACTAACTAGAACTAGAAATAATTAAAAAATAGTTGATATTATTATCATTTAATTATCAGGTTTTTTAATTCGAATTTTTAATCTCTTTCTTTTGCACATTGCGTCTTGTTTTGCATTTAAATATTTGCCTTCATATGATTAATTAATTTCTTATCACGATTATATGAAAATAAAACGCAAAAGCATCCTCGAATGCAAAGTTTCCACGTCTTTTTGACGTTCAATGTTTTTAAAAAAATGTTATTTTGTACAATTAATTCTTAAAATAAACTGCAGCTTAAAAATTTATCCATTTTTTCCCGAGACTCTAATCTGACAAGAAATATTCTTTTGAATCGCTGTAAATTCAAGTTTTTTTGAGAGAAAATCCGAATCGAAGCACAATTTTCTGGTTCGCGGAGTCCACGCGCGGACCGGAAATGGAATTTTACTTTGGTTAACGGTGCGGAACGCACTACACACGCACAAAGCCGGCGTCGCGACGCCTCGCTTCGCCGTATTCATGTTTGCCTGGTGAAAAAATGAAGGATTCGTGCCATTGAATTTTGCATGACGATCCCGCGGAATTGACGCTTGATATAGACGAGCGACTTTAATCGAGCGGCGCGCGATTATTAATAAATAAACTTGTCGCGTCCGGGTCTTTGTACGTCGGGATCCATCTCACGTTCAAAGGGTTACGCAACCCCAGACGGACACGTGTCGGCGAGTGGAACAGGGCTCCATGAAGATAGGCGAGGTGTTCGGATCGAAGTGCGCGACCCTACAAAGGCGCCACGCGTTGACAGGCGAAGGGGCGAGTGATAACGAGAGAAAATTCGGCAAAGAATAACTCAGTTTGTTGTTTTCCTTTCTATATTTTTCCATTCGTTGTAACGAGATTTATACATGCAGCTTTTAGCTTCAATTTTCAGTACATTATACACAGAGAGAATTTATCCTGAAAATCATGCTAATCGTGGGACAATATGGAAGAATTTTGTATAAAAATTCCTCTAATTACTATTGATTACGATAAAAAATATTATCTACCGCAATAAGGTATAAAATATGTTTGATTAATTTTATTATGTACATATAGTAAAATTTACTGTTAATTATTGTAGATTTTCAGAGAGCAAATTTTCAGAGAAAATTCTCTCCGTGTAGATTCTCTTCATCTTGTTGCGCGGTCAGATTGAATCTTGACGAAGACGTAAAAAACGCGAACTTTGTCAATGTACAAAGTGCATTCACGATCGATTGCGAAATTTTGAAGATTTTTTGTCGCGTGTTACTCATTTCGCTCATGTCGAATTCCGCGATATTTTGATCGATAATTCTCACTTTAACAGCTTTATTTACTATTTGTACTCGAGAAATTATTGCTTTTGCGAAGCGAAATTTTACTTATCGTATTTTATTCGGGATATAACAGTATCGATTTGAAGCAATTAGAATGTTTATACATTTTATGATTATATTAATCTTCTTTACTTTTTGCGTGAAATTTACAGATTTATCTACTTTCGCGCGCGTAAAAAAAACAAATATTCTCGCTGAGTCGACCTATGTCCCGACAACGCAATAATATACGTTATCTGATGTACATTGCCCGGAATAAGCGTATATATAAGTGCGAACGATGGCAGATCAACGGTGCAAAGTACAATCTTCACCGAATCGCATTTGACGCACGGTTTCATTGAATAACAAATTTTTGACGCGACAAAAAGAGAGAAAGATAGAGGGAAACATAAAAATAATTTACGTCCATATATTACGTTTACGCGCATCATCGTCCCGTTAATAAATATTTGTTGAATCGCATTGCGAAATTAAACGTGCTTAAATAAACTTTCAAGTAGTCCTTTAACCAGACGCGACTTTTAACAATGAAGCAATATTACGCTAACAAATAAAATCAGGGAAAACGTGCAAACAACCATCTAATGTTAAAATAAAGGATACGGGCAAATGAAGAAAAAAAATAATACAAACTCTCTCTTTTTTAAGGCAAGATTATAAATAGAAAAATAATTATGCATCTTATAATAAGCGAGAAATAAACTACACTATAATTATATAATGGCAGTATATGGCGTCGTTGCTTCACAAACTTTACGTAACGTTGGTTAGTTGCGGCCGAGCTGCGATGGATAATTAGCAATTTAGCTGAACGGACGCCTCCTATGTGTCCGCGTGTACGTGAGCACGTGTATGAGTCGCTTTACGTTGCGACGTAAATCACTTGACACGGCTCGGCCGAGCCCGAAGGACACCTTGCACGGAGGCGCATGAATGAATAAATGGATGGGGATTGGATAGGGCAATGTAACAGGGTAGCAAGGGTTGGCAGGAGCGTTTCAAGGGCTCCCCCAAGGTCAAAGGGGGGCGGCGATCTGTCGTTCCGTATCATTAAAGAGCAGCGTGGTTACGCTGCCCACGCGCTTGAGAAAACAACACGCCTTTGCATTTCGAGCCCCTCTGGCCTCCCTTTCTCGCCATTCATCATCTCGCCGTTTATACTTTCGCGCGTGCGATAACATGTATGTATGTTATTCGTGTGGTTAATCGACCGATGAAACGAGAAACACGTTTCCCTCTGCAAATCGACAGATCTGTCAGACATAATAATAATAGCGCCTTTTATCGTATATACACATTTCATATATTCAAATTACACATAATCATATACGTACGATTTTTACGGTTCTAATAACTTTGCACTTGAAATATAACGCGTGAGGCAAATATACGATGTACGCTTTGCGTCGTGAGTTTCGAAACTCTCTCTCTCTCTGGATGCAGTCGCGCGCGAGAATCGGGAAATCCCTCTCTTGTAGCGCTCGAGGGTTGCGGCGGCTGTCATTCATACTTTTCGCGGTAATCACGATGCAACAGTCGTACGATTCGGCTACCAAGTCCGCAGAAACGGCCAGGAGTCCCCGTAGGAGGGTCTCTATTAGATCGCGCGATATTTCGCGGGAGACGTTTCCCGGGCAACGCGAGAGACGTGTCCTGGATAACGGAGACGTCTCGGGGGTGCGTGGTATTAGGGATTCACGATCGGCCAGGAGGCCGGTTTTCACCGGGGGTGAAACTCTCTCGCGAAGGGGGATGTTCCGGGGGGAAGAAATACGTGGGGCTTCGTTTACGCACAGCAACAGCCCCATGCATCGGGTCGACGGCACCCCATAGGGCGGCGCGCCAATTCTATGGCGCGCGTCACCGGCTCTCGACCCAACCCGTATATCGATCGGTGTACCTTTCGATATACCTTTTCACACCGGAAAGCCGCTCTTCTGTTGTTGTCCCTGTCCCCGATGTGCGAGACCCGCTTAGTATCCTGTTTCTCGCCGGACTTTGTACAATGAGGTGTTGAGAGAAACATTTGTGAGAATCTCCCTTAGCTATGACAATGAGTGGAATCGCCTTGAAAGTTTTCACATACGTTTCTCTTTATATTGTATATTTAAATGCAATTCATTGATTTAATATATATATATATATATATATATATATATATATATATGCATGTATTTCTTATAAATAAAATTAAAAGTAAAATAACATTTATTAATTATATCTTCCTTGGCTAACAATAAGTAGAATTTCCTTGAAAATTTTTTCACATATATTTCTTTTGATATTTTATATTTAATAAAATGTATTCATTTGATATATGAAGAATTTAGTATATAAGATATGCTGTAAAACTTCTGATATAAAGAAAAATCTTGTGATCTCTATAAATCATTGTTGTCTACCTTTGACGAATCTGGGTGCGATCCGAATCTTTCTCTCGCTTGTTGGTCCTGAAATTCTTCTCTGGAAGCTTTTTTGCACCTTGACGATGTGAGACGTTCGTCGCACTGCTTGAACCAAGAGGAAAACGAGGGCGTCTTAACGAGCACTTTAAGTGGCTTTGATCCGGTTTTATTAGCCGCTGGACCATCGGTGGATTTATCGTCCCGCATTGTCCGGGAAGAGACGCGCTTCCACGAACAGGCGGCTGTCACAAAAAGGGCGGTCCTTTTGAAGCCTCTCAACGACATCCTATGGGATTCCGTGGAAATGATATTTCGTTTAATAGGTCTCTCAGGCCACTCTTTGTTAGTCACAGACCCAGCCAGCAAGCCGACAAGAGCTCCGACTGTTCGACGATGTTTCGGAGCAGATCAAAATCCAGGAACTTTACGAAATTATCCAAACTTTTGGGAAATATTCTTCAGATATTGTATAAGCTGCTTTAAAGTATTAATAATAGATATATACCGTATCAAAAATATATTTCCCAATATTCTTGCAATTGTGTAGATATAATACATAGAAATTTTTTTTTTTTTTTGAAAATATTAATAAAAAGACGTAAAATAAAATTTATTTTCACGACGTTTCGAATATACCGCGCACACAGAAAATTCTGGAAGAACTCATTAGACTGAAATAACCACCTCCTGTTCCCGTCTTGAAACCGGATAAAAGCGCTCCGAGAAAGAGAACAGCTGAGCGCTCTTCCCGGAGTGGGGACGCACGGTTCACATGGATCAGCAAAATTTGAGTGATTAGTGCCGATCAGTGGACCCGGGATCATCTACGACGCTCGACCGTGACCGTGTCATCGCTTCCACGAGTGTCTGTCGACATTTGCCGGCGTAATCTGGGTGGGTTCGAACGAACTGGCAGAACCGGCATTGGATTGAAGATCCGATAAATCGAACCGGATTCCGAAAATTATATAACGGGAAGGATAATTTTAATATTAAATTACTTCAATTTATATTACAGTTTTGAAAGCCATTTAAATAAATATATATATACATATATATTAACAGAAATAAATATAAATTATACGTGCTTCAAGATTTTTAAGAAGAGAGCATCGACGAGATATGCATAACAATTCGAGATAAGGCTGTCAATTGGTGTGTGGCGTGATATAAAATTTCGTTTATTCCGAGAGACGGACGCTTTAATGTCGGGACCGCCGCCGACACGAGTACTATCAAGAGCCGTCTTTACGTCAATCGATTTTTCATTATTATTACTGATATCGGCGCGACTTACTTACAGTAGCCGGCAGTGACGAGTCGTCTCGCCGATGAGACAGAGAGACATTTAGAGCGCTCACGAGATCTTTAGAAACAGTCAACAACCAAGGACGTCCCGACAAAGTCTCTCTCTATACGAGAGTCCGGAGAGAAAAACTGTGTTTTCTCTCGTCTTCAGTCGACTGATACAAAGTCCAAGAATCCGGGATTCTCGGTTGTTTATGTGTGTCGCATCGATATTCCTCGCGAGGGACTACAGAGAAACGGAATAAACAGGAGTGTTTTTAATCATATCTGTTCACTCTTAATCTCGCGGAAGAGACGTTAAGACTGTCATAAATCTATATATTTTTCATCGAGACCAGAGTTTGATTCTACATTCACTTCCACGCTGATTGTTATTTAATAAGTACAAATCCATCGTAATAGGCAAGAAAAACGAGATAGAAACCGTGAAAACCGCGCGGTTTATCAAAACTCCCGGATATACATATATAGTGAACGCTATCGTTGTCTCGAAAAATACTTCAACATGTTCCTCAACCAGACCCTGTACGTGCTGGCCTACACGGCCAACATGATGGCCACCTTGCCCGAGAACACAGATGTGAAAAACGTCAGTGTAGCCAAGAATATCACCACCACGACCTTGTCACCTGAAGAAGCGGAGAATACATTCAATTTGGACGATCGTAAGTGTCAGCTTCGCTCCTTCTATTTGTAAGATAAAAAGAGAATAATAATGTTTGTTGTTTTCTGCGTTAATAAAATTATGTAAAAATTGGATTAACGTGCGAGTAGATGAGAAAATAAACTCGAATTCTCCTTTATCGGAAGGGAATCACCTTAATAAAGAAAATGAAGTTTACTGCCACGTGTGATCGCGTTAATTGCTGACAAAACATGGTTTTCGAGGAACTGATAGAGCAACGCGTAAAGATATAACGTGAACGCGTCTGATAACCTCTGAAAGAGTAATTCGTATAATAGCATTTTCTCGAAACTCTCGTTAGTCGATTTAGTGAAGGACGACGGATACAAATCAGTTAGATACGTATGTTTATTTGTGTCAGTAACGCACTATCTGTCGAAATTGTCTATAGGGTAGCACGAAATTCTTAACAAGAAATATTCTTTTCGATCGGTTTCCTCGAAACTTATACACAAAACACACACTCTAGATTTCTATCCTTTCTTGTTTATGACAAATTCTTCAGTACAGTTGATTCAAATGCAAACGACTCGCAAAGTTTTGAAATACGTTAAATAACACTTTAAGTTACAGTTTATGGGATCTTCTCTCTAAAAGTTGCGCGTGTTAAAATTTAGAAAATGATTAAAAATAAGTAAAAGATTTTTCATAAATGATAAAAAATATATACATATTATTTAATCCACAAGCACTATCAAAAAAAGAACATTTTTTTATTTGTAATTATATTTTTTGCATAATATTGAATTAATTTTAAAAGTATATATGGATATAATTATCTTTCACCTATACCTTTGAAAAATATTTTCAAACCTATCTAAACCCCATTTTAAGAACTTGAAAATCCATCTTCGAGTTTAATAAATGAAATACGCTTCGTTCTGTAACCATCAATAAAGAGCAAAAAAATATCTGTTAAATCAGAATGGCACATGTGGCGATGCTTCGAGCCATATGGTTGCTTCTATATCGGAGCACCCTGGTCCGGAGAAAACCGACCGGTGGTTACTTTTCCGGAACGCCCGGACAGCATCAATCCCCGTTACACCATTCACACGCGCCAACAAGTCGATACTTACGAGTTAAAGATTGACGACATCGAAGCGATCCAACGATCTCCCTTGAACAAGAACAACAATCTTTATTTCATCATTCATGGCTTCCTTGACAACGGCGACAAGACTTGGGTCCTGGTAAGTATGTTGTAAGATTAATAAAATTTTATAGAGATAAAAAAAAACTATTATATAAAAAGTTGCTCGTTGTTGCTTCAATGAGGGCGCAGCTTTGTATTAAAAGAAATTATTAGAGAAATTAACGAAACATTACCAGTTCAAAGGATTTTAATATCTTGTTACCTCTGGAAAGAAACTTATCTCATTTTTCCATCTATTACGATTTATTACCGAACGTCTTAATCGGGCAGAGAACGATGAAGGAGCTGCTGATTCGAGAGGATTGCAATGTCGTGATCGTAAATTGGCTGAGTGGTGCTGGACCACCTTACACGCAGGCCGTGGCCAACACGCGGCTCGTAGGTGCGATGACAGCTCGTCTGGCGTATCAGCTGATCGAGAAGGGCGAAGTACCGTCCTCGAGGATGCATTGCATCGGGCACAGTCTGGGCGCCCATACTTGCGGCTACGTCGGCTACACCTTGAACACTCGATACGAGTACAAGCTTGGCCGGATCACAGGTATTACTAATTGGGTAATCGCGAATTCTCGAGACCTCTGTCGATTGTTTTCGAACTCTCGGAGAACTCCCCGATTAAATAATCTCCTCAAAGATTACGCGCGCGAGAAATGTTTTCATGCGAGATTGAAGAAGCGATTGCGACAGAAGGAGATGTCGAGAGCCTCTTTGTATATATGAAGGAAGGGGGCTTCTTCAAGAAGAAGCGTTCGTAACGCAGGAAAGTGCGAGATGAGGAAGAAGGTAAACGCAGGAGTGAAATGAGTGACAGAGGTATGCAAATTTGCTAAAGAAATGCATACGTAACCGCATACGCACGCAAACATACACACACACACACACGCGCGCGCGCGCATACCTTTCTTTTTCTCCTTTCTCTCATTTTTCTGACGATCAATGTCGGAGCCGGTCGTTTGTCCCCTCCTGCGGTCGCAAACAGCTCGGAGCATTACGGAGATAGCCGATTGAATCGCGGATGATCAGGCTAGCAGTTGTCGCAGGAGTATCTCGCTCGAAAAAGTCGGATGGGGCCGGTCCCAACGTTTTGCATAAATCTTGACGAAAGAAATGATTAATTAGTAAGAATAATAATGAGAAACTCGATATCGCACTCTACATAACTCTATCGAAACACTTTTTCGCGCATATAACATTAGCTTTTAATCCCCTTCGAACCTGAAGTCGAGGAAGAAGACATTCACATTTTATTTTTATAGTGATATTCTGAAAAATGAAAAAAATTATTAATTGCTAAGAATAATAATGAGAAATTTGATAATATAACTCTATCGAAACTTTTTCCACCATTATCTTTTAATCCTCTTCGAACTTGAGGTCGAAGAACAAGAAGTGGTCACATTTTATATTTAATATTCTTGAAAATAACAGCCAAGATTATCGAAAATATACGAATGCGGAGAAAAAAGAGAGGGAAATGTGAGAAAAATATTGATCTATTCCATCGCATCGCATACGCGTATAATAACATTCAAGAGAACATTCGTTTCAACTTTTTATAAGAGTCTCCGTTACACGGGTTTATCATTTGAAGGACGGGTGAAATTTTCGCGAACGTAACGAGCCGAAGAGACTTGGAGAGGACGAGCTACATAATACGAGATTCGCTGCAACATATTCAAGCAAATAGAGGACGGGCGATCGTAAAAGCGCCGATCGTAAAATACTTTCGTTCTACCTTCCCGCGTGATTCGTGGCATCGATGGATTTATGTAACGACCTGTCGATATCACCCGAGATATTCGCCCCTCGAGACCGATTTACGATTCGCCGTATAACATGACGGAAATTGGGAGAACGTCCGGGAGTACAAATAGCCATCAGCTGGAACGATTATTTCCGATCAGTCCGCTTCATTACGTAATCGGTAATTGTGAGGAAACGAGGAATTTCGCGAAGACGCGTCCAGGTCGAAGAGAAGAGAACTTCTTGGCGAAATTCCTCTCCATCTCTCCCTCGTCTCGCGAATCGATGGAATCGAACGCGCCCGATTGGAGGTGGACGGGTTTGGTCGTTACGTAAGCTATCGATCCCATCGGGAACTACCAGGATAACAGAAGGAGACGCGAAGTGTGTTAACAAGGACGACGGCGGGGTTTGATAATGGCCGCGAAAGCGGAGAGGCCGCAGAATTCGCCGAGGGTTGACGAATCGACGTTCTCTCTCCGCCTCGACGTTTATCCCCTCGACGAGGAGGAACATCCCCCTAACGAGAGGGAGAAACGAGGGGTCAATACCTAACTCGGTATACAGAAGCGAGCGGGACGATCTTGGTGAGAATGGAAACGAAGAAAGACGTGCTTGTCCTGGACGTGCGTCCGGAGACGAGATTGCGGTAAACAACCGGAATAAGAGAGCACGTTGTCCCAAGAAGTGGCAGGAGGATAGCAGGAGAATAGGCCTCGGTGTCCCCGAACAAGGACGAGGGAGATAATGGGATATTATCAGCCGTGAACGAGGGAAGATTAACGAAGAAACGTGTTCGCGTTATGTATATAAGTATAGTATATAAACGAGTACGCCTTTCATATACGCCGAGTTATTCGTCAAATTCGAAGGAACATTCGGAAGTAACGCACTGACGCGAGAGTAACGCGAGTGTAACGAACGACTTTCTTATTCGCGAACTTATTATTCATTTATTGTCTCTCGGTAAACCGCAAAATAACTTCCGCCTTTACGCAATATACGGTAATACGATGTTATATGGTGGAACGTTTGGTAACCCTTACGTGAGACGAAACACGTATATTTTGCAAGTCGACCGAGACGTACGGTTATTGAAAAATTCGTAGAGAGGTAACCCTAAGAACGACACAGTCCTACGATAGCCTTCGACTTGACATTTTCACCCGAGACATTGATTCAGAACTCTTGTCGTAACAGTTGCGCAATGACTGTTATTGCATTTTACGAGTTATAGCATTTTCGTTCGTTGGGAATATATATGGAGTGATTTACAACGAGCGTAAATAATTTCGATAGCTTGTTCGAAAGATGAGTGTTATTGTCTAATAGTAATTGTTAATTTATAAATAAAATATATTTTCTTTTTGAATTTTAACTAGATGTCAAATCTATTATTTATTATAGCGTTAATAAAACTTTGATCTTTTAGTTCTATAATTAATCGAAATAGAGGATATTTATATAATATCTTTTTACTTAAAATGACTTCTCGAAGCTGTCAAAGTTTTTCACTCTCATATTGAAAAAGATGCAAGACACGAAGATACAAGAATCTAATCTTCTCGTAAATTATCTCTGTTAGAAAAGCTATAGATTGTCCCTGTCTTGGAATATATATTTGCATTTTTTTCGATGCGGAGTTCACCCCTTGCTAGATATTTATTTGAAATTCCCACCTAAAGTGCATAAGCGATCGATATTCGCTAATGTTGCTCGTCGCAATTTCACTTGCAAGGCCTCGATCCAGCGGAACCACACTTCAGCAACACCTCGCCGATGGTCAGACTGGATCCGACAGACGCGGTATTCGTGACAGCAATTCACACGGATTGCAATCCTTTTATCAGCGGCGGCCTCGGCATTACGCAACCGGTAGCGCACATTGATTTCTATCCAAACGGTGGCCGCAATCAGCCCGGCTGTAACAAAGGTGTACTCAATTCCATCACCTTGGAACGCGGTAGTTTATTTCGAGGTAGGTCTCTGATTTCATTCATATCTGTACAGGAAAAAATTCTTCTTAGAATTTATCCTGAAAATCATGAATCATGGGACACTAGATAGTATTGGAAGAATTTGATGAGTTTCTCTCTGATTAACTATGTACTATACAATAAAAATATTAATATCTATACTACAATAAAATGTTAAATATGTTCGATTAATTTTACTATGTACATATTAATATTTCTTTATTATCAGAAAAACTCCCACGATTGCCATGATTTTCAAGGTAAATTCCAAGAGAGAATTCTCTCCGTGTACATACAATATTTTATATAGATTTTTGAAGAGAGAAGGTTTGGGATTAACCCTTTTCTATCAAATAAAAATATAAAAAAAATTTTAACTTTTTTAAAAATACATATGTATGAAAAAGGAAAGAAATTAATGCAGGATTAAAACTTTTTCAGGCATTAAAAGATTTTTAGGATGCAATCACATCCGCAGTTACGAGTACTTTATCGAAAGTATAAACAGTCTCTGTCCGTTCTTATCTGTACCGTGTAATTCTTGGGACAAATTCCAGGAGGGTCGCTGTTTCGACTGCGTAAACCAATATTGTCCAAGATTTGGACTGGACGCCCAGCCCGGAAATTATCATGCGGGCGTATATCTCATGACTGGACATGACAGACCGTTTTGTAGTTAGTATAATGACTCATTTATATTGGAGACTTTAAATCATCATGTTTTTTCTCCGATAATATATAGAGCTACGAAAAATATTTCTCTTCTTTTCATAATATATTAAAAACTTTTACGAAATTTCGGAAACTCGTAATTCATTTTCTGATACATTCATTTAGCTTAATGCGACCAAAAATATAAGCAATGTTATAACTCGCGCGTGTAATATACAATTATATCTCTGAATCATTTTTTAAAAATGTTTACATGAGTCGCATCGTGCTAATTATTGTATCTAATAATTTTCCGATGCAGAGGGTCACTACAAGATGACGATAAATATCTCGAAAACGGACGAGAGCGTGTCGTACGGCGGAGAAGTCGGGATGTTTATGGTTAGCGTGATCGGGACGAAGGGTAAGAAGACCGAGAAGATGCAGCTGAGCTCGGGCTCGAAGTACTACGAGCCCGGGAGTACGCACACGATCGTCCTGCCCGGGGACCTCGTGGGCAAACCGAAATCGGTCGAGATCACCTGGGACTTTCAGACCTCGGTCTTCAATCCGCTCACATGGAGACTGCTTCACGTACCGCGGGCCTACGTCGACTCGTTGACCATCAAAAGTCTGGAGATCGATCACGAGTATGTAATTTTGCGTATTTTTTATCTCGCGATGCTCGCTTCGATGACGTAATATCTCTCTAAAAGCGCCTGATTACCCGAGATCCCTGAACACGCGATATATCCGGACACACGCGATGTCCTTGCTGCGAGCTTTAGAAAGTCATAAATTTTCTGATTATGTATCATTTCTAGTCGCTCGTGATAAGCACTTGTCACGCGTAGAGTATTACTAATGGTCGTTTAAAGAGGAAACATTATGAGAATATTAATTTTTTTCCGTGCTAACGGTTATTTGTTTGAACATTGTACAAAAATTGGTATTATTAAATTGATTAAGGTAACAATTTCTAGCACGATTTAATAAACGTAAATAAAAATTTAAGAGACGTAAATCTCGTAAAGAGAAAAATAAATGGAATAAATAAAAATGTGTAAAAAATAATATTTAAAGATTTTATCTAAGGAGAAGAAATTGTTTCGACGTCTGTAAAATTAATTCGTAAATAATAAGATTTGAATTTATATTAGCACGCAAAAAAATTATTGCACATTAACATATTAAGCATTTGTAATCCAGTAGAAGAAATATTGCATAAATATTTTTATCTTGCACTTCAAATGTTATTTCGCATGTCTCTTCTGCTATGACTCGTATCTTTATAACTCCTTGTGATTTTATGAGCATCTCGTAGTTCGTTGATTTGCTATGCAACCCGCGCACTGCATGTGCATTCGAGTGTTTCGACAGCGACATTTGAAAAGAAAAGAGTACTTACTGATCACAGAACGAATAGACGAGCCGTTGACATTTAAAGAGACATATAGACGTAAAGAGGCGCACATATATCACAAATAATTATACAATAGTTAAGTAACCGGGCTCTTACGCGCAACTTGCGTAAACTCATCGTCCGATTTTTCTTTTTTTTCAGAATCACGCTGTGCCTAGATGATACAAAAACGCTGATCGCGAATCAGCCGAAGATCATGACCGCGGAAAACTGCCGCTCGGAACACAACGCAATCTCCACGTAAAGGACCCAATCCCCACATCTGTGTGCCTTGCCTTTTAATCAAGGATTAGAGCTCGCTCTGCTTGAAACCGGTACAATTTTCTATCTCGAGCATACAGATTTCGACGCTACAGAACGAAAGTGATCTCTATATTTATCCGCGAAAAATGTATTTTGCCTTGTCCGTGACAAGAAAGTTCAAATCACCGAAATTATTGTAATAATTTTGGAATCGAATCGCGACGCGACGCAACGAAAATCCATGACAAAGGCTGATCACCTGCTCGTTACCGCGATATAATAATCATCCCGTCATCTGTCACTCGCGCGAAGGAATTTTTGAAAGTTCTAAAGTCGCTTGTCCGCTTTTGCAAAAATTATAGAGTAAAAAAGAGGAAAAAAACTATCTCCTTTCCACATTCTACGCGATGTTTCAATCGCATCGCGACCGAAAGCTCGATTGTACAAAGCGGAATTGTGGAAATAATAATAATCATCGTAATTTGGACTACGCCTACGCTTTTTACGGAGAGACTTTTTACTTTCATACGAATGACAGCTAATCTCCGGAAACTCCGGAAACTTCCGATTCGATCCAAGTTGTTCATTTTGCGACTGTCATAGGTGAACAGCCGATCGCCGAGCGAGGCGAACGAGCGCGAATCACGCATAATAGCGCCGGTTTCCCTCGCAACCAATGGCAAAGTCACGATCCTTTCACTATCATTATGTGCCTGAGGTCTCTTTCTCCCTCTCTCTGCCTCTTTCTCTTTTTCTCCGACATTTGCTTTCGTGCGCTTCGACGCTGTCATCGTCGTCGCACCAGTAAATTATCACTGACCCCGTAATTTATGTTGATAAGTGCATTCAATTCCACTTTGTTCGGCCGTGAGGGACTCATCTAATAACAATAATGGCGTAACTAATGACACTTTGATGACGCGATAAACATTCCGATGAACAGAGGAAAGGGAAAGGAATTATAAACTTTCGAGTGTAAAAAGAAACGAAGTGCATCGTCGCGAATTCAACGACGAATAATATATTATGCAACGAGTGTTTGTTTGTTCCGTTACAATGAGCCGTTATAAAATTCTGGTAATTTCGCAACTTCACTTGCCGCACAATGAATTACGAAAGAGGCAGAAGTGCAATTTTTGTGTCCCAAACAAACGAGTCACGAAGTGTCTCGCTAATCAGCTGATTCGATCCCTTCGAGTTCCTTGGACTTGGATTTAACTTTACAGAGGAAGAAGGACAGAGAGAAATATTTCATAATCGATAAATTTAACACAGCGTTTTCCCCGTGATGTAAGATCCGAGGATTTCTAGTTAAGCTCAATGAGCTAAGTTCGAAAGTTTTTAATACGATATAAGAATTATTTAATTTCTAACCAGCGTATATATTTATATACAAATAATCCATTACTCGATATATATCTAAGAAATAAGCGATTCAATTAAGAGAGTTGTTTTTATAATCGCGAATGTACATACATACAAATACAATTCTTTAACACTTATGCACTTGTATATTATTTTATCAAAATCAGCACATGTCGATATATTCTTTAAATAAGCTATCAAAACAGGGGGATGGAAACTTGATATTCTATTGCTCCTTTCACATATATAATTGAACGTCTGTCGAAATAAGACGGAGAGAGAGCCTATTTATGTGTGTGTGTGTGTGTGTGTGTGTGTGTGTGTCAGAAAATAATAAAACGAAATTAATGACCGGAAAAGTATACGTTACATATGCGGAAAGTATCGGAACATTTCAAAGTCACTATTACGACGGTTCCGCATTCATTTCACGTTTTCCGTTTCTCCGTCATCTATACGTTCGACTCTCGTTTTGCCTCTGAGATCGAAACCTCTCTCGATAATTCTTCCGAAACTAAGCAGGGAACTAATCTTGCGACAAGGAGCCAATCGTTGGCTTAGATCAAGACTCAACGAGTTCCTACACGAGTATCCCCCGAATCGAAGCCACCACCGCAAGCAGGAGCAAGCACTCCGTCTCTAGCAGGTACACAGTCCGTTTCTAGAACCCGGGGACGACGACGGTGGTGGGCAGGTATTCCGGAGCAAGCGGAATCCGACGTGTGCATTCGAAGCAGTCGAGCGCCGGCCTCTCACCGCGACACATTTCGTTCCCTCCTCTCTCGGTTTGGCTCTCTCTCTCTTCGTCTCTCTCGCAGGAGAGAGAGTGCAGTTCACGAAAACGTTTGCAACGAAGACGACTCGTCGACGTTTTCTGCAACGCGCAGACCGAAGCCGCATCGTTTATTCCAAAGGATCCACTTGGAGGGTGCATCTCGTGAATCTCGGGCGCACGCCGAGGGAATCACGTGGATATATTAATAAATAGACCGACAGGTATCTACGGCTGCATGAGAAATTCCAGGATGGATCGCAAGTAGACGGCGGGACGGATAGCCACGTGACATGAGAGAGCGGCTTCGAAAATGTGAGTCTTGGTCGCGCGATGCATCGCGTGAGTATAGAAATTGAATACGCTCAACGTATATACGATGAATAGAGAACTTGACCTTCGTGTTGGATTAAATGACAATAGTCGTGCAAGTGGATGATTCAAATTCTTCTTCAACTAGCTGTAAAAAATTTGATATGAAAAAAGAGGAAATACAAGTTTTTGCACCGCGATCTCTACGTTTCGTCGGGTGATTTAATAATTGCAAATTAAATATAATATTAAGAGACCTTGACTTTTAATGTTATTGTAGATCCAACAATAATTATACGAGATAGATGATTTAAATTATTCTTCAAGTAGCTATAAAACGTTTTTATATAAAAAATAGGAAACACAAGTTTTTTTTTTTTTAATGACAATAGTGCACAGGTAGATGATTGAAATTATTCTTTAACTAGCTATACACAATTTTATTTTAAAAGAGTGGAAATGCAAGCCTTTTTAGCGTTGCTATTTCCACGTTCTTAAAAAATTAAATACGACAAAAAGAGAATTTGACTTTCATATTACATTAAACGATTATGCATGAAGTAGGTGATTTAAATAATTCTTTAATTAGCTATAAGATTTTAAAAAAAGAAAGAAAATGCAAATTTTCGCACAGCGATCTCTGTTTTTTCATGTAATTGAATTGAAAATTAAGTACAATGATAAGAGGAGACTTGATCTTTACGTCAGATTAAACGATAATAATGCACAAAAGGATGATTTAAATAATTCTTCAATTAGCTATAAGATTTGATAAAAAAGAAGGAATGCAAATTTTGTTGCCACGATCTCTATTTATTCGTGTAATTTAATTAAAAATTCAATACGATGACAAGAACTTGACCTTTACATCAGATCAAATGGCAATAGTGCTTGAAGTAAATGATTTAAATTATTTTTTAACTAGCTTCGAGACGTGATAAAAAAATGTTTTGATAAAATGCTCTGTTTAACCATGCAATTTAATTGAAAACTAAATACGATGAGAACTTGATTTTTATATCAGATTAAACGACTGTTCGAAGTTAGATGATTTAAATTATTTTCCAACTATAAAAGCTACGAGACTTGATAAGACAAATTATTTGATAAGAAAAAAAAGAGAAAATGCAAATTTAAATGTTACGATCTCTACTTTTAATCGTGCAATTTAATTAAAAATTAAATAGGACGAGAAGAGAACTTTATGTCAAATTAAATGACAATAGTGTACGAGGTAGATGATTTATATTAGTCTTCAACTAGCTATAAAACTTGATAAGAAAAATTATTTGATAAGAAAAAAGAGAGAAGACAAATTTTAGCTTCACAATTTCTACGTTTAATCGTGCGATTTAATTGAAAATTAAATAAATACGATGAGGAAAAAACTTTATGTCAGATTAAACAAAAGGATAGTGCACGAAACAGATGATTTAAATTATTCTTTAACTGGCAATAAAATTTGATAAGAAAAAGAGAAAGATAGACTCCAAGTTTCAAAGCTATTGATCTCTGGATTTATTCGTGCGATTTAATTGTAATAAAAAAAATGAAAATAAAGAGAGAACTAACTTCTTTTGAAATTAAATATACTATATATTCTTCGCCTGACATAATCTAGAAATCTACAGGAATGTTTGTTCTTAGACTGGCTGTGCGCATCCGACCGACGCGAAAGCAGGCACTATGTCACTGTTCTCCACGACCTTGATAAAATAATAGTCGCGGGATCACTCGCGAGAAACGCGAGAATCGAGTTATTAAAAGTCTGACTCATTTGCGAAAAAAAATAATCGTAATTCCTCGCAGCGCGACGTGATATATTCACTTTTGCTTTTTCTTGGCATTTAATCGCCGCGTTAGAAAACAATGTTTGCGCGACACTCGCAATATATCGCGATTCTCGATTCCAGCCACGTGCTCGAAATCACGACACACGTTCGATTCACGATTCTTTCGCTTCTCGAGCGCAATTGTCGCCGTTGTTGCGTTACTCTCGAAAATTTCCCTCCTTTCGACACTTTTATCGTTAAAATTCATAATTTCTGCGATGTACAAACCATTGCAACTATTTTTTTAAACAAGAACTTGACAGTTTATTTTCTAATTTCGACACAGAAAAATTCGATTCTGTTGCTTCTTATTGCGTGAAAAAATTAGAAATAAATTCGAGATGGCAACTTTGTGAAATAAATATATTTCATAATGCTTGTGCATTTCTCATGCATATGTTAGCGTATTTCGGAAATACACGCGCGTGGCGGGGAAAAAGAAAACAGGCGGCTGTATAGAGACAGACGAGTTATAGACGCGCCGACTTTCTCCAGAGACAAGCTCGTGTAGAGCCTACGTAGGCGTGCGCTCTATACGCGGGTCTGCCACCGTTTTACCGAACCGATCTAACCGAGTTCGAGATCGTAAATTAACGACCAGGCGGCGGCCAGTCGATTCCCGACAAGGAAATTCGAGGTCGTTGGAAATCCATCCCGATCGAACGTACTATCGATCAACCTTCTGTTTTTAATCATATAACTCGCAAAAACGCGCCACGCTTTATATAATTAATATTATTAATATTTATATATACATATGCATTTTATATTATATATGATATGTATATAAAATTGCAAATAGCAATTAATAATATATACATATTATATATAGATACCTACTTATATATTGTATATAATTATATGTATATATTTATGTCTCCTTTTTTTCTGGGCTTAAAAAATAATTGCGCGGCCCGCACGAAATACTATTTAATTAATATCATTTAATTATCATTAAATGTTTCGCTCTGTGTTTACAAGAGCTCGCTGAGATTGATCCGTCACTTTCATCGTCGCCGACTCAGCGATGAAAGTTCTAGAGAGAATCTGAAAAAATCTCTTCTCATGCTTGAAATATTTTAATATGGTATGATAAAAAAAATATTTTAATATGACATAATAAAAAAAATTGTACGAACGAAAATATACGACGACGTTTGGGAAGTTCTGAAAAAGGGAAGCTGCAATTCGTGCTTGTAATTTCGGCGTTGAATGCACTTTCGCGCCTCGCGACGTAGAATATCTTTGAGAAAAGAGGAAGAGTTTCCCGAAAAAAAATACAGAGACGGCACGAAGAAGGAAGTCGATGAAGAATGCAGGCGCGAGATGCACGCTTCGGTGCATCCGAGGAGAGAGACCCTGATCATTTAGGGAGATTATCTATCCCCGTTATCTGGGAAAATGATCGCGGCCTTCCTGCGCGTGGCTTCCTCATCAAGTAGAGCTACAAAATCGACCTTGCTATTTCATCGCAAGGGGACTACAATTTCGCAGCTACTTGATTATTGCAATCCAATATTCATGTTTTCCGAAAGCAATAGAATTTCCAATAGAACTCATTTTCTAAGAATAATTGGAAATCACTTTTTTATTGAATATCAAGTGCGTGCCGAAAATCACTAAAGTTCACTTTAGATTTTTAGACAATCTGATTTTATAATTTTATGTTATATAATATAAACAAATATAGGTACATATATTTTATCGAAATACATATATTACACATATACTAGAATATAAAAAAAAATTTATATCTCAAATTTTGTCATAAATTATAAAATCTAAAAATGTCACTTTATAATATAGCAAAATATTGTTATTAATTTTTTTTCATATATTAGGATATTCGTATTTTGAATCGTGGGAAGATACAATGGCAAAATTATTTAATTATCATTATTGCAATTTTTCGTTACTTCGGTCTCCTGCTTCTTTTAATCTAAATTTATTATGACTAAACTTATCTAATCATGTCATTCGAAATTGAGCGCATTTGCCACAAGAATCTTAATTTGCTTATGTGTTAAATAATTTCGTTTTTTATATGCAAGTTAATGCGGATAAAATTTAAAAAATTCGCGAATATTTGTTACACGAACAGGTGAATCTTATCGCAAGAGAGGCTGCACAAAAAAACAAATGCATTATTTCGCGCCGTTGCATAACACGATGCAACCGTGAATGCTGCATGCGAGAGATCCGTAAGTCCGATACGTTATCTGTCATCGCGTCATCACAAAGGGCATTTGTGCAAAGTACTTATGCAACAAACGAGAACGCGTGCATACATGCACGCAGTCTTTCGACGAATACTTCCGCAAGAAAACGTGATCACCTCATGAAATCGCGCAAAAGCAGCCTGGGCTCGAACCACGTGGCGAAACGAGCGTTGCTCGAAAACCGTGAAAACAGCGATACCGGTATATGACATATTAACGACTTGGCTCGCAGCACTCGAGAAACGCGTTTGTGTGCGTGATGTTATAAATTATCACTTGCCCGCTTATATAGCGGACTCGACGGAAAAGTGCAACCGGAAAAGAAGCTGGCACGCGAACGACCTGATCGGATCGTTTTCTTCTTTTTCGAATTTTGTTCGAAATTTTCCGAAGCGAAAAGAGAGAGGACAGAAAATATGTATAATTTTTCAGACAATAATCGGAGAGTGGATTTCGTCAAAAATTAATATTTTTAAAAGGGCATATCATTATGCTCTTAAATAAATTAATATAAATTGAATTGATTAAATAAAGAAATTTTTCGAAGGCTCTCTCAGTGAAAAGAGAGGGAGGAGAAAGTACGTAGAAAAATTTTTCAGACAAAAATCGTAGAATGGATTTCGTCAAAAATATATATGCTCTTTTAATATTGAAAACTGTTGCTTAAATAAATGAATATAAATTGAATTTACTAAATAAATCGATATAAATTGAAACATATGTGTACGCGCGACTAGGAATCAGAGTGTGAAATGCATTTCTTCCCGCTGTCTCCTTTCACGCTAGGCCGAGATTTCGCGTTACCTTCCTTATTCTCTCATCTCTCACAGCCAGGTTCCTCTCAGCCTAATCATTTTAACAACCGGTTATTTGCTTCTCACGAAGAACCTACGCACCGCATTGCTTCGTTCACATTCGACGTACTCGCGACATTGAAGAGTGCAAAATCAAA